AATTATATAATAATACATTTGCAAGTAGGTATAACAGTTATTTAAAAAATATAGTTATATCTGGTATCTTCATGGTACTTGTTCGATATAATAACCTAAATTTAACACCTAACAGCAATAATATTTTTTTAATTAACACTACCTTGTTTATTATTTCATACCCGACAACAGAGAGAGATTAGAAACAGTTTGTGTTTCTGCATTTACAATAAATTATAGTTTGGTTTTATGCGCTCTAGAGTAATTTTATCTTTTACATAGTTTGTCATCCAACTGTTTAGTCTACATAACCTCTTTTTCGTTCAGATCTAACAAAAAAATGTAAATCGTTATTGTTACACTACTATTATGAGAATATAATAGGTGCAATGTTAGGTTTGGTTTTATAATATTTCAAAATTATGAAAGGCAGTCTTTAGCTGTTAATTGAACAGTGGTTATTATAGTGCGACTAAGAAAACACATATTTACCTGTTTGTTTTTACTTCTCGAGCTTCCTTAAGTTCTAAAACAGTCATTGTTTGTACTCGTCGATCATTTTACTGTTGTATTGGGTCATTAGAAGTCCTTTTTCATTATCATTGTTAATAAAGTTTACAAAAACAGCAAAGTATTGCTTATTAGCTCAAAAGAAATGAGATGTAGAGCAGTAACCGACAGTGCAACATGTGACGATGTCGATAGAACGGTGTGACGTCACACCTAATGAGGAACCGTTTTGTGGTACATAACAAATTTTGTATTCATTTTGGTGTTCCATATTTCATAAAATAAGTATTTGTAAATTTTACTTTTTGTTTTATTTTTTAATCTGTTTACCAACTTCATATTGAACTAGAATTGTATGCAGAATTATTTACTTAATGCGTAGAAAGCTGCTATCGATACAATTGTTTCGTCAGATTTATCACAATACATTCTCATTTTTTTTAAACAATTTAACAAAACAAACCCATTAATTAAATGTTCGAAATTATAATTATAATTTTTGCGCGCATAAACGTGACTGTGTCGTGGGCAAATTTTCAAATTGCGATATTTTGATCGCTTTATTTGGTTCGCCCGTAGCTATCTTAGTTTGATGCTCCTAATTGGAATATTACCAGCAATTAAATTCGATAAGTTTTTATCCAAAGGTTACTGTGTATTTATCCTCTGTTTCTATTTATAAACAATCGTTTCGTTTGTGTTGTGGACATGATTCTGTTTGGATTGGTGAATTGCTCGCTTCTTAAGGCCGGTTTACGCCGTTAAGGGTGGATTACACATTTGTCGCATGGAAGGCCAGGTTATTAGTCGGTTTATTATTGAATTTATTGGTTCATAATTATTGAAATATGTGAAATTAATAAAAAAAACATTAAAAATATCTTTTGTCATAACTATTACACATTAGTTCAACAAGTTTTTTAATAACTGCTGGCATGTTAAATTATTTAAATATTTGTTTGCGAAAGTGGACATTTGTGGCTAGTGGAAAACAATTACATTAAAAATTGACCACAAAAGTAATAAAATGTTTTGAAAAATATATATTCAGGGTGGTCCAGATTTTAATAGACAAACTTCGGGAAAATACTAAACAACAAAAATTAATCAATATCACTTTGCTCTATGAACATAGGCGCAGAAAGCCACCATTTGTGAGATACGGGGCGTTGAAATTAACAAAAGTAAAACAATTTTTTTAAATATCTGGAAAATCGCTGCATCAAATTAATCCAAATTTGGTACAAACTTTTTTTCAAATATTTCTCTTAGTTCTGTATGCACACAGTCCAAATTCAAAACCCAGTGGCGGAGAAACGAGGACGTAGTTTCCTTATTTAAAGTAAAACTTCTACGCCACTGAATTAATTGGTCATATGAGTACATTTTACAACGGTCTGAAATATTCCGGATATAAAACACACTTTTATTTTTGTCGAAAAGTGAATGGTTTACGAGTTATGAGACATATTATGATGCAGTTTTTTCCAGATATTTAAAAAATTTATTTTCTTTTTTTTTAATTTCAACGCCCTGTATCTCATAAACGGTGGCTTTCTGCGCCGATGTTCATAGAGCAAAGTCATGTTAATTTTTGTTGTTTAAAACTTTCCCGAAGTTTGTCTATTAAAATCTGGACCACCCAAATATGTTTTATTTTTCCCGATTTCAACGCTTTGTTTAGTTGAATAATATGTCTCATAACTCGTAAACCATTCACTTCGATAAAAATAAAAGAGTATTTTTTCATCCGGAATGTTTCAGACCATTATAAAGTGTATTCATATTACTAATTAATTCAGTGTCGTAGAAGTTTTACTTTAAATAAGAAAACGACATCCTTGTTTCTCCGCCACTGGTCTTTGAATGTGGACTATGTGCATACAAAACTCGGGGAAATATTTAAAAAAAAATGTGTACCAAATTTGGATTTTGATAAAGCCGTTTTCCAGATATTTAAAAAAAATGTTTTATTTTTGTTAATTTCAACGCCCTGTATCTCATAAACGGTGGCCTTCTGCGCCTATGTTCATAGAGCAAAGTGATGTTAATTTTTGTTGTTTAGTAGTTTCCCGAAGTTAGTCTATTAAAATCTGGACCACCCTGTATAGTATTTATTTAAAGTACTCCGTACACTACTGGATTTTCTCGATACAGTACTGTTTCTTTCGATATTAGGTAATCAAAATAATAATACGTAAAAAATAGTTTTCTTGTTACAAATATATGAAACTTCAATTATTAATACATTTTTGTAGTATAAAACTTTTGTTGGTGTGATTTTTTGTGAATCGCATTATTTTAACGTCAGTTATATCCCCTTAAGGAGAAAATCTCACTTTAGAATACACCCTGTATACTGTACCTACCTCTACAACAACATGTTGACAATGTTTTCAATCTTCAGTGCGTTGTAGTAGTTGTATGTTTACTACAGACTTTAAATTCGCCACAGGGGAAGTAATAGAAAGTAAACAAGACTTAATTTGGAGGTTGGGCTAGGCAAAGGAAACTGGTAGAGGCAGGTATATTGATCGTTCAGCCAGAAATAGCTTGGCAATGGCCGAATTACTGCTATGTGTTTTAGCACAGTAATTTGTTACGTCGTTTCGTATACAGAGCATTTTGAAATGAAAGTAAATACGTAGTAGCAAAATCACTTAATAATTTGCTTTTGACGTGGATACGTGCTTTATTATTTGTTTGTTCTCATTCGAAAACTAGGCGGGTAAAACGTACCGGAACCTGTTTGTTTACTCGTCGGAAAAGTACAATGTAAACGTTTCTCCCTCAAAATAATTAACGAAAATGTGGGGGGAAAACGTACGGGAACCGTGTTGTGACGTCATACCGCACGTTGGGGGCTAGCCCACGTGCTTGACGGGGCTCACATGCACTATATCTTCCCATCTCTGACGTAGTGACGTAAGTGAACGTTGCCATATTTGCTAGATACGATCGTATGTGGGAACACGTTCGTCTCGATTGAGTTATAAACTATTTGCAAGAATGAGATATTTTAAATTTACCCCAGATGGCTGAAGTGAATAAGTAACATTCAAAGCGTCTGGTCTTTTTGTCACAAATTTTTTTTTAATTAGTATATTCCTGCACTGGTGAAAAAATATCAATTAACTGGAGGAAAAATTAAACTATACTACAAATAAATGACCTGCGACAATAGCTAATAGCGAATAGAGCTGTCGGGTCGAACCAGTCGAGTGGTGTGACGTCACAGATGCTTTACGAACCGTTAATAACCGTTAACTTTCACAGATTACTCTTCAAATGACGATTGAAACAGTGAGCGATATGGAAAAAAACGTTAAAATTTAATTTGAAAAATATTGAGCCCAACATATTCAATAATTTTAAAAAATCACAAATTTGACTTTTTAGGCCATACTTTATAGATCCAAAACTTTAGTTGTAAATGTGATATTGAAACTTTATGAGAGCACTTTTTAAAGCTTAAGATATCTACTTTAAGTTGGTGCATTTTATTTTTCTTAAAAAATTGAAATAGTTGAAAAAACAAAAAAAAACAAAAAATAAAAATATTTCATGAAAAATCCGTGAAATTTATTGTTAAGTAAATAAAGTTTAATAAAGTACAAACATTTTTTTTTTTGTTTAATAAACCATCAAAACAAAGTAAATTCTGCAAAAAATTATTTTTTTATTTATAGTAATAAGTGGAAAATTGTTATAACAGCAAAAAAATAACGTTTTTTGATTAATTGATTTAATATTCATTCTGTATTTGAAATTATGAATATAAGTTCTCTTATTGATGTGACACAGACACAGATATGAGTCTAATATATATAAATATATGCTCAAGAGAGACAGAAGAGAGGAAATCTTCAGTTTGCATTTAAGGCATTTATATTCGTTTTCTTTTATGCTAAACCTGTAAATGTATGAGTTTAATATTTATATATGAATATTGATCCATTTTTAAAATAATTAATGAATAAATAAATAATAGGGGACGTTGANGTAAAAATATCAATTAACTGGAGGAAAAATTAAACTATACTACAAATAAATGACCTGCGACAATAGCTAATAGCGAATAGAGCTGTCGGGTCGAACCAGTCGAGTGGTGTGACATCACAGGTGCTTTGCGAACCGTTAATCGTAAAAAGTTTAGCACATGTGCAAAATTATCTTTAAACGTTTCGAAAATATGCAGGATTCTGTATTGAAAACTAATCATTTTAGGCCTCGTATTTATAAGAAGTTTTCCTCGTAAAATGGCCTTAGCAACCGGCTATTACATGTACATGTTTATTGGAGCATCCTGTACATACGTCACAGTTGTATTTATTACTGGTTGCCTTTTTTAATTTAGTAGCATTTAAAGTGTGTAATATCGTAGAAAACGAGGTTATAGATTGCATGACACAACTCCCAGCGCACCCCTCGCTCACCAGCCGGATTTTCTCATTAATTTTGCATGTTTTAATTTTCCACTGACATCGTTTTTCGTTTCTGCTTGGACACAGGTCTCGTAGGGCGTCCCAGGATGGCGGCAGGGTCACCAAGGAGAACTTTCCATGGATGCGGTACGTATATCTGCAACGAAAACACGCGTTCACGTCCATGTCGAAGCTTTGTTTTTTTTTGCACATTTTTGTCACCGCTTTGCACCGTTTCGTCCAACCGTATCTGAAATTGTATGTAGCGTAGTTAGTTTTCTAGTTAATGTGGTGTACAAATAAAGCCGTAAAAATATGTTTGCACAGACATCTTTTTGCCTAACAGCTAATAAAAAAATAAGTTGTTGGAGCTGTATATAATGTGCTGTGATAATAAAACATAAATTATATTAAAACAAGTTTTAATAACATCTAAATAATAATTCTATTTTAAGAGAGAACTGTTTGCAGAAGTTGTAACCTTTACAGGGTGTGTATCAATCCAGAATTATCAGGACATTTGATAGAATTGAAAATGTCGGGGAAATATCGGGGGGTTTATCAAATTTTCATAGAAATTTTTCAAATTCTAATTGTAATGGGTCTTTATTTAAATCAAGGCGTCTGTCTCTATCACCTGTCAATATTTGTTAGTTGACTGTCAATAAAATTGGTTTTTTATTAGCGTTCCCATTTCCGTTTGTTTTTTTTTTATTTTTGCCGAACCAAAATTCAATTATTACAGAAAATGGTGTAGAACTTAATAATTATAAACATACCACTAATAGAACAAAATACTATTCATTTGATTTTTATTCAGAAAAAATTTAAAACTTTTTTAAAGCGAAGGAGAAATACACTTTCATTCTGTGTTAAGAATTATATTTAAATTAAATATAAAAGTAAAATAATGGTAAAATTTTTTATTTAGAAGAATATGGCGTTATTTTGATAGGCCAAAACTAGAAATAATACTCACATATTTCTTAATGTGGGCCTTGGCCAAATTCTAATAACTTTCATTCGTTTTGACTAAATTTAAATTTCCAAATCGAGGTAAAAGTTAGTGTAAAAAAAATCTAAGATGTCAATTTTTGATTTTTTTAACATTAATTTTAATTTTAACTTGAGGTTTTTACATATTTTTAATTACATCACATTTGTATCAATATCATCAGATTAAATATTTATAATAACAATCAAACTTTCAATAATTTGACCAAATAAGTGGTATTTGCTGAATTTGTATAGTATTTTTATTCATTAACGTTATTAGGATGTAGCTAAAAGTGACACATATTTAAGAAATACATATAATTTTTAAAATCCTTCGTTAAATAAATATTTTCTAGGAAGATACTGAAAAAAATTTCGGAAGTGGTGACGGAATGTACCTGAAAATATCAGAAATTGTTTTGGTTAAAATTATATACACTCTGCTTTTTAGTTTCTACCCAGAAAAAACTAGAACTTTTCTTTACAACCTAAATAATAAAAGTGCCAACGCATTGGTTTAACTTTAAGTTTACAACTTCTGCTAATGATTTTGGATTTGGCACACCGCAATATCGATCCTTATTGCTGCAATTGCAGTGGTGACTGCGATGCGCCAAGGACAAATCCTGGAAAAACAAATGGAATAATATTCCGTAGAATTATTATTATTAATCTGTTTTTTTCGCGCCTTGCTCCAAGTTTATCATCAGCCTTGCGTTCTATTTAAATTATGGTGATTAACGTTTGTTGTATCAACATGCGTACGACTTCTAAATGTGGTTATTCCTATTAGACAGATGGTCGGGTGAAGGCTTTCTGTGTTAAGATTTTCACCTGTAATTTTTTATATTTCTGGCGGGTCAGGGCAAACGAATTTCCCTGTGCCGTCCGTAGTTGGGTGTTTGTAGAATAGGTATTGTGCGAGATAACGGTGTAAAACCGTGTCGAATTGGTGACCAGCGGCCGGCCAAAGTACCGGATGTGATAAAATATGCTTGTAATATCAACCGGCTTGACTTTTTTTATAGCTTTAGCGCAAGGTGGACAGTGTGACAGGATTTAGCAGGTTCGCGAGGAAACTATTTGAATTATTTAACACTAAAATACCAGAAAATAAATTTAACAAATTGGCGATTTGTAAATTATTTAAAAAATAAGACCATTGAACAGTTAGTTTAGTCAATAACCTGCGATAGTCTTCACATCCACACACACAACACATGGATTTCGACATAACTTCGAGCTACAGCACATTCAAAATTAATTTAAAAAATTCGTTGCAGTGCACAAATTAAATTTTAATAGAGAAACCCGTATTTTGATTCTTCTCACTAGTACAAAATGGTTTTCAAACCACTTACTTGTTTACCGCAACGCTTGTCCCGAAAATCGCGTGAAAACTGAACTTATAAGTTAGATGTGAAAAATAAAAACATAGTTTGCCGAAAAACATGAGCAAGTAGGAGTGGCCAAGGGAAAGAAAAGGCCATAAACATTTTTATGAAGAGATTTCTTTGACGTATTGTCTAAAAAAAATTCTTAAAGTTTAAGAATTATGTTTAACACCGGCAACACTGCATTATGTCGCGCGTAAATGTCATATTGATACACCAGGAAAATTAGCGAAAATAAGAGAATAAGAGAGTCCTATCCGCGAGATTATTGTAAAATTGTCTCAAGGAACATAATACAAGACAGTTGAATTTGAAAATAATTTGTGAATTTTTACTTTAATTTTACATTTAAATCGTAATTAAATAGCTAACAAAATATTGAAAAAGCAAGTTTACTTTGCCTTAATTTGTAAAAAGAATAACATTTTAAATGAACGATAGCTTCATTTATTTATTTAATAATAGTAAAATAATTCCGAAATTGAAATTTTAATTAATATTTCTTTTAACAATAATTTTTGTGACATTTTTGTAAATTAAAAAAATTAATTATAAAAGATGCATTTTTTCTGGGGTTCAGGGCTATTCTACGAATTCGTAAATATGCCCATTGTTATTTTTTCGTCGAGCTACCCCAGTTTAAAAAAAAATAAGTTTCTACGATGAATAGAAGCCGAGATATTGCAAAATTTACAGCGCGCATCAATTTGAACTTTGGAATTAACTTTTCTCGCGCGCGCGACCGCTTGGACGAGCTTCCCCCACCACCACGCCGCCGGCCGCCGGACAGTTTACTTAGCGAGTACCTTCTCTTTAAAGGGCTCGTGAGTCGTTAATTTTCCACATTTTTCAATGCAATTCACGGGAAATCGTAGTTTACGTCGTAAACTTTATTTTGCGAAAAATTCAAGTCTTAATATTTATAAACAATTGCGCTACGATTTTTTTAAAAAAAAATTCTTATCTTGGCTCCTGTTGGTCGTAGAGGGTACTTTTTTTATTTTAAAACTGTATTTTTTTGCCAGCTATCCATTGCATCTATTTTCGGTGAGATAGCATAAATAGCAACAATGTTATTCAAATTGTTTATAAGCGAAAAACGCACGGTTTTTTAATGCACAATTTGAGAATGTTAATGTCAAAAAAACGGTGATATTTTTTAATAGGTCGCTTAATTACGTCTTTAAGATTACAATGACGCTTTCAGAATCATGTTTGGTTGAAAATTAACGCCTGTACAGAGGCTTAAAGTTCATAACTTTTGGAGCCTCCGCTATAAACAAATAGAATTGTGCGAAAACTATTGCACCTACAGCGCCCACTTTTGGCACACTTTTGAAGTATGACAAAACCCTCAACTTGTCATAGGTTTTATAAAATTTTAACAATAAATGCGATAGTTATAAACAAATTAAAAAATGGGCACTTTTCTTGTTGTATTCAATAACTTTTTTGTTTATTAACCGATTTTAATTTAACAAGTCTCATTTTGTAGATAATTTTATTCTATTCAAGTTGTCTGAGAGTCACTTTTCACTAAAATTGATGGTTTTCCCTGCAAAGTGAAAAAACTGTTTTCCTCACTTATTTGTTAAATATAAAAGTTAGCTATTAAAATTTTTTGACTCACGAGATGAGAGATGTCTTATATTATGTTCCTTTAGACAATTTTACAATAATCTCGCGGATAGGACTTTTTTCGAGTAAAAATTTAATTTGCTACTATGAAGTCAGCGGTCTTTAAAAAGTTTTCTAATAAAAATTATTGCATATCTATTTTGAATTTGAGTTTCTTCCTAATTTTTTCGCAAAAAGCTATTAAAAATAGTATATGTACAGGGTGGTTGATTTTCGATAGTTTTATAGGGTACAGCCAAAACGGTGATAGATACAAAAAATCTGATATCGATGTGCCGTCCTTTTCTTTTGAGTATACTTCGCTGGTACCAAAATATCTTGGCTAACTTGATTAGTTTTAGATATACAGTTTTTTTTTTGAAAAATCGCTCGTTTACATTAAACTCTCTAGAACACCCTGTATTTGACCATTCCGTTGAATAACATTTTTTTTTACCTTTTCAGCATTTCATATAATAATAGATACATTTTATTTGCCTAAATGAAGAAAAATGCAAAAAATGTAGAGGTATTTTTTCAGTTGGATTTATTCAGTATTCATCTTTTGTTGTTTAATATTGACAGTTAATTTATTTTTGTCTGATTGAAAGCTTGTTGAAACACTATTATTTGGTTTTATTAATTTTGAAAGGCGTTCTATTAAAAAAAAGTATGTTCATGTAATATCGGAAAAACTGAACGATTTGTAAAAAAATCTGAATACGCCAATGGCTTCCTCATAAAAAATAGAACAAATAATGTAGAAGCTTTTTCTTCTAAATTTAATGACGACGGAGATAGAGAGATTAATATAAGTGATCAATGTTTCAAAAAAACCCTGTATATCTAACACTAATCAAGTAAGCCAAGACATTTTGGTACCAGCGAAGTAAACTCAAAAGAAAAGGACGGAACATCGATATCAAATTTTTTGTTTCTATCACCGTTTTGGCTGTACCCTGTAAAACTATCGAAAATCAACCACCCTGTATATATTCAGCCTATATTTGTCAAATCTCGCAATTTTCGGAGCTGATTGGCCATCTTGTAAAGGTCTGAACCACATTTTGAAGAGTGTAGTTTCGTAAAATAAACTTGGAGCGATCATTTTCATAAAAATCGAATAAAAACTTATCCTGATTCTATGTTTAGGAGCAAGAGCAGAAGCGTGGATCACGGAATATCCGCCCCCTACGATCTCGAGGCTCTCAGAGCAAAAGTGGACGGTCAATTCGATAGAAGCCTTGAAAAAGGTGAGTGATTTTATAAGAAATGTTTGTACACTTTTTCTTTCTATGTTTTCTATAGTACTCGTATGCCGATAATGAACACATATTTCTCCTCTCCTATTTATTCGAACTAACCAATTTTTATATTGAATATTTTCGTGGCTAGATTTAAATCCAGTGAAGTGTAAAGTTTCGCTGCGCTGACGGTACCAATGTAACGAAATATTACATCTAGTTCCTGAACCCGTTTTATATCGCAATTCGGTTTTCATTGCCCATAAAACCGGCTGACTCCTTATTTGTGTATTTACACTGTTGATTTATTTGCGCGATTCCGATTTATGATTAAATGTAGAAAGTGTTTCCTCACCTAGAAACGTTTTGCAAATAAATTAACGTCACAACTGACTACTAAATCACCGTTTTTACTGCCGACCCGCCAATGGCGTAGCAAGAGGTTGGGAAACTTTGTGGACGGGTGTTAATAATCGTACTTGTCAGAGAATAGATCGAAAGAATATTGAGATGGTGAAATTAGTAAATTTGATAAAATCGGCCCTTCGTGTTTTGTAATTTTCACATTACTGACATTATTTTTTTATTAATGTAACATTTAAAGAGTGGGTAGTGAAAAAAAAATAGTTTTAACGCAACGTAATTCTAGTTTGTCTTTTATAAGGTGTATTTCTTGTCTTTAAAGGAGGATCGGGGGGTGAAGCGGGACGCGGGGGGGCTATACTTACCGAGTTGTAAGATCCTTGCTGTCAATGCAAAGAAAAATATTCTTTATGACTAGAAAGTAGGTAGACTGAGATACTTGCTCTTGAAGATATTGAATAAAATCGGATTTAAAATATGTATTTCGAATTTTCACTACCAAGATCGGCGGTGACAACATTTTTAACATTAAGGCATTGTTTCGCATTGTATTAGCTATGTCCTGTCCAAAATTTTGTTCGTGCAACTCTCTTGGTTTCTGTTTCTGAAATACAATACTTATGTATGCTCTCAGCTTCAATTGAATAATCTTCAAATATTTCGAGTTTTCACCACCAAGAACGGCGGTGACAGCATTTAACAGTAAGATGATGTTTCGCAATTGGTACTTTGATTTCCTGTTCGCCATGCCCAAATGTACGTCACTGTCCAATATTCCAAGGGCGCTAAATTTTATTACCTATTAGCGGTTTCTAACCGTTAAGTTGAGAACTGTGTACCAAAAGTCATGCGGGCAATAAAACGTAAATTTAAATACAATAGTAAATTAGTAATTAACTGCAATATTAGTTAAATACGATTGCTCGTTCTCTCTTGAATTATTCTTCAGTAATATGTAGACGACGCGATAAAAGATGTGTAAATACACAGTTTTAAACTTAAGCGCGAGAATGCTTATAAAATATTTCTAGCGAAATGGAATGAGGAAATAGATTAAAACAAACCCTCTGTTAATAATCGATTGGATTGCTACACATTCGCGAGCCTCGTAGCGTTTGGTGAACCTGCAGTGACCTGCTGCAAGGCCAGTACTATTCTTGCCGACCTTCGGCTTTGGCCTATTAGATAGATGTATTAGTTTGGTTGATGATGCATCTGAGTATGTACGGCTTTGCTTTGTTGCCCACACGTTTAGCATATATTTTGTGATGTATTTACTGAGGGTACTATAGCGTCATCAAATTTTTAAAAAGGGAAAAGAATAGTCCTAAAAACCAAGTTCCGGCGTATTTTAAATTAAAATATTAGTTAAGGCTTTAAAGATGGTCCAAGAACTGGAACGCAACCAATGTCGATGTTTGCAGGAAAGTGAAAACAACCAGAAATTGTCAATAAATATCTGGAAATTTCCCGAGTCGAAGACAACGGATGATTTTTTGAAAATATGCATGGTGATAAAAAAATTCCTGAATAATTTAAGCAAAATTAAAAATTTAAAAATGACGTTTTGAAGAATTGAAATCAAATTGTAAAGAAAGCTATGCCAGCCGTGCTAATCTATTATTGCTGTCACGTTGACGTTAATTTTGACGTTGACGTAAAATTTTGTCGAAATTGTTGTGTAGTGTTTTAAAATATCTCCTTTTGGAAGAAGATCAATCAATAATTCGAAGAGAAGTTCACAATTTAATACCCAAAAATGCAGTGAAAAAACATATACTTATAATCTTTTCGAGATCAGTTGAACATGTATAAAAACGCCTAGCAATAAAATTTAATGAGTTTCATAGGCGTCCCTAAAAAGTTTTCTGCTAAAGGTAAAAACTTATAATTCATTTGCCCAACACCATATTTTAATTATTTGTGTCCTCAAACAATTTTGTTATATTGATGGTAAATTTCGTTTTGTTTCTTTTCAAAATCAAAATTTGGTAACCATTTATCAATCTTTGATTGTCGAAGAATTAGCGAACATTTTGCAAGATTATGCTTTTAATATGAAGAGAAGAAACTCTGAAAATTGTAAAAGAAAACAATGTGGAACTGTACAGTAAAACAGATACAAAAAATGTTTCATAGAAAAATATAAAATTAAGTCGATACATTTTCTAATGTAGAATTTGTACCCCCCAGAGCTACTCCAGATTCTAAGCGAAAAAAAAATTACAAAGCTATTAAAAGAAGAGCGAACGCTTTAAATTTGGTATGAAGATACCCCAAATGGTTTATAACGTTTTTTTTTTTTTCATATTGCTTCACTTGAGTGTGAATGGAGAGTGGAGGAAGGATTTTCGACTTGTACTCAATATTTAATAGGAGAAACTAATAATCTGGAAAACCTAAAACCAATCTTCTTAAAAACTGCACAAGGTGGTTCCAAATGTTTGACAGGTAGTAAATGGTTAATTAAAAATTCGGACAATCCTCAAATAAGTCTTGCTCGTCTGTACAAGAAATTGATAAAAAAAAAAGGGGAAATCACCTTAAGACCGAGTTATTGTTTTTAACTCCAAATCTAAAATGGAAGGAAATTAATTATACGAGAACTGCCCAGTTAGGAAGAATACTACATCATAGTGGTTTAAATCCGCAGTTTCTCTAATATGAGAATTGTCCCTAAAAAAGTTCAAAATAACCGATAGTTTTGCAAGAGCCACTACTGTTTCAAATTTTTCTAAAAAGGGAGTTGGAGATCAACAACTTATTAACAAGGCACAGTAACAGTCTTATACTTACATTTGGTTGTAGAGCGTCACAGGGAAACGACTGAAACCAGAAGAAAATCTTTACCTAATACCAATAAGTTTAATTGTGACTGAAATATAACAGAAGATCACATTAATTGTAAAACAGAAAATAGCTAGCAAACCATTAACTCGAACCAAACCGCAATCGTTTATAATAACTGTGTTTTTAATGTTAATAGTAATTATAATAATCAATTTTGTATTAATACTAACTTGTTTATTGTTTATGAGTTACTTTACGTAACATATTTTTATAATATTATTAAAAACATTATTAGCAGTTAATAAAGAAAGGTAACTAATTTTATTCGTGTAAAATAACGAAACGTAAGGTAATGTATTCTATATTTAACAGTTTTTTGAACCCTCTAAAATGATACGCCCATGGAGTTGCGGTTTCCTTACGCCTCGCCCGTCGCAGGGAACTAAATGTTGAAAATGAATCATCACCTATTATTTTTACACTGAAGTATAAGACCAATACTGGCGTGGATGCTATCATTTGCAGGTTCGCTATCAGTTGAAATGACAGTTCTTCGGCTGCGTGGAAAAGACAAAGTTAATTGCTCGTATCAACTCCCAGTTCCACAGCCTTCTCTTACGCACAGAATACGCGTTTGATGCGCTCCCTCGCCGTTTCGAGACCNTGAGAATTGTCCCTAAAAAAGTTCAAAATAACCGATAGTTTTGCAAGAGCCACTACTGTTTCAAATTTTTCTAAAAAGGGAGTTGGAGATCAACAACTTATTAACAAGGCACAGTAACAGTCTTATACTTACATTTGGTTGTAGAGCGTCACAGGGAAATGACTGAAACCAGAAGAAAATCTTTACCTAATACCAGTAAGTTTAATTGTGACTGAAATATAACAGAAGATCACATTAATTGTAAAACAGAAAATAGCATTAGCAAACCATTAACTTGAACCAAACCTCAATCATTTATAATAACTGTGTTTTTAATGTTAATAGTAATTATAATAATTAATTTTGTATTAATATTAACTTGTTTATTGTTTGTGTTACTTTACGTAACATATTTTTATAATATTATTAAAAACATTATTAGCAGTTATTAAAGAACGGTCACTAATTTTATTTGTGTAAAATAACGAAACGTAAGGTAATGTATTCTATATTTAACAGTTTTTGGAACCCTCTAAAATGATACGCCCATGGAATTGCGGTTTCCTTACGCCTCGCCCGTCGCAGGGAACTAAATGTTGAAAATGAATCATCACCTATTATTTTTACACTGAAGTATAAGACCAATACTGGCGTGGATGCTATCATTTGCAGGTTCGCTATCAGTTGAAATGACAGTTCTTCGGCTGCGTGGAAAAGACAAAGTTAATTGCTCGTATCAACTCCCAGTTCCACAGCCTTCTCTTACGCACAGAATACGCGTTTGATGCGCTCCCTCGCCGTTTCGAGACCCCGAATTTTTTGCTCGCCAGCCCTCGCCCATTTCCCGACGCAGTATTAATGGTTCCCGACCTCAGTCGAAGGAAAAAAACTATTAATTTAAATCGCTTTACATGCCAACGCCTGTGTAAAGGCGTTTGCCGGAGAATGGGCGGCTGGTAGGTCGCCACTCGCCTTTTCCCGACCCTCTGCTCGTTTAGAGACGATGATAAATCACTTCGTAGGTCGAGATACGCGTGTCTTCCTATGCCCGCCGGTTTCGCTTTTAATGGCTTTTGCGTATCCACGTTCCCCCTAAAATTTAATGTATATTTGATTTTGTACCAATCCGTGCATAAAATTTAACCACACACACACTTTCTTGCACAGAAACGTCAGCCAGCTTCTCAGATCCTCAATGTTGTCAAATTGTCGA